TGCTAGGTCACTGCTGTGACCTCAGAGAAGTGAAGCACATGAAATGAGGAGGTGGGATGAAGGCAAAAGATTACTAGGATTCTCAATTTTGAGTTTTGCCTACTTTTAGATTTTTGTTTAACGAGTGAGGAGGTTGGAGTAGGTTAGCTTTATTTTATTAATTAATGGACGACGGTAGAGGAGTACTAGCTTAATAAAAATAAATTAGTTATATTTATTATGGGAATTGGGATAGGTTAGTCCGAATTAACACTTTCGAGCCCGTTCACGAACTCTAAACGAGCTAGTTCGTGAACAAGGAACAACGAGCTATCGAGTCGAGCTTGTTCACGAGCTATCGAGCTGAACATGGCATGGCTCGAGTTCGGCTCGTTTAGTTAACGAGTTAGTTCGCGAGCCGGATCGATTTAGACGAGTCGAGTCATGAACGAGTTTTTTTCGAGTCGGACGCTTAGTCGTTCATGATCGGCTTGGTTCATTAACGGCCCTAAGCGGGACTAAGTGAATGTAGGTGAGTTCAAATTAAAGCAGAAAGAAAACAGTAAATTGTTCGATTTCCGGAAGCAAGAGACGAGTCACTCAGAAATGAGTCCCCCTAACTCCTTAGTTAGGTCCAAGTTGTAATTTCCTTAGGTTGATTTAATGTTGATTAAACTGCGGAAGATCCGATAGTAGCTTGGAATCTCTTAAGCTGACCAAGCCCTCCTAGACAGACTACCCTGTAGACGACTAGTCTTCACCGGTATAGAAAGCTAAGGCAATTAACACAGAACTCCACTACTGGAACCAGATTCCAGTACAAATCAGTGAATTGACTGACTCTCGTACAATCAATTCATCCTAACAATTGAAGAAGCTCTAACAACCTAATCAGATTCTATCTATCTCAGGTTGCAGCACAAGTCAAAAGAAGTTGATCAGGATTCAATTGACTCAATAAACACGCTTCAATCGATTATAATCAAACAATATATCAATCCAGAAGTCATTACATCTCAAAGCCCTAACACATGGAACTAGGGTTCTTCATACCCAAATGAGAGAAAGGTATACTCAATAGAGAGAGAGAGAGAGGAAAACAAAAATCAAAGTAGTCATACTCATAAAGATGAGAATAATCTGGTCTGGGATGTCAATCTTCACTCCTGAGGATGCAATCTGGGCTTCAATGGTGTGAAATCCACTCCAAATAGCTGATAGGGTTTGTTCTTCGCACTTTCTCTCTCTAGAACTATGTTTTTGCTCCAAAAAGTCGAATCCCCTTCCTTTGGCTCGAATATGCCTCTTTCAACCCGATTCTGGGCGAAATAAAGGCAAAAGCACGGTCGTGCTTACTACCTTGATTGTGCTTTGCCCAAAACGCGTGTTTCACTTAGTGCAAAAGGGGAGAAACACGGGCAAGTCTGGGTAAAGCACTGACGGTATTTTCCAAAGCACGGTCGTGCATTTCTCCTGGGCTGCCCGTATTTTGGTTTTCTTCAGCACTCTTTATGGCTTGCTCTTGTCAATAAAAGCACTGGCAAGATGATGAAAAGCACGGTCGTGCTTTTCTCCTAGCCTGCCCGTATTTTATCTCCAGAATCGCCAAATGATCTCCAAACGACCCGAAACTTGCGCCTAAGCCTTCGTACACCAACTACGACCTGAAATATGATAAAATTGCACAACCTAGCGTAAAATAGGGCAAGGGTCAACAAAATCGAGCCAAAATGGTTAATATATAAGGGTGCAAACATGTGCAAATATGACGTTATCAGGATTAGCTTCAGAAGTGATACAAAGTGCTTAGTGGCTGGTTATTCAGATTCTAACTATGTTGGAGATGTTGACACGAGAAGATCGATGACCAGTTATGTATTCCCTCTTGGAAGTTTTTTAGTGAGCTGGAAGGCAACTTTGTAGTCGATAGTGACATTGCCTACTACTGAAGTTGAGTACATGGTGTTGACAGAATCTGCAAAGGAGGGAATATGGTTGAAGGGGTTGGTTGGTGATCTAGGTCTACATCATGATTAGTGGTGTATTGCGATAGTTTGAGTTCAATATACTTGTCCAAGGATCAAGTCCACCATGAGAGGACTAAGCTCATCGATGTGAGGTATCATTCTTGAGGACAAAGAAGAGGATTAAGGTGAAGAAGGTTAGTTCACGAAGATAATCCAGCTAACATGTTCATGAAGTCGGTTCCACATGTTCAGTTCCAACACTGCTTGGACTTGTTGAATGTCTTGAAAGGGTGAATCCGCCCTAAGGGACATTGATGGCAGGAGGGAGAGAAGGATCATAGTATGATCGATTCATTTCGTGCAAGTTATTGTCAATAGTTAGCACGTTTCAATAACTACCCCATCCTAGGCCAAGTTTAACCTAGAGTAACGTAGTCATATAGTAGAAATCAAGGTCTTATTCACTCGAGTCCCGGTACCCTAGCCTACTTCCCACATTGTTGTTATCTAGTCTATCAGTTTAAGGGTTTGTGATGGAGGATTCAAGCGAAATAACTAGTAGAGAGAACAAATAAGGATAAAAGAAGGTACTTCGGGAAACTATCCATCACCCTAGCCGAGGTCTACTATGCAATGTCTCAATAAGTTGGGGTTAAAGAATGTGATGAGTTACCTCTTTTCCGTGGGCTTTCGTGGTTATCCACACACTTCCGAGTACACCTCCCCCAAACCCATGTCAGTCATCTCGATCTAGGCTATCGTATCTGGGGCATTAAGAAAATAGCTCATTTCAATGTTACTACCCACCGTCCATAAAGGTTTTATCTCGAGTTCTATCTAGGAAGACATTCCTATGACAGGGGTACGGTTACCTCGTCCACCATAAGATCATATTTATTCATCTAACCTGATTTGCTTGATGGTGCATGCACCACCTACACACAATCGGAAAACACATCAAGTCTAGCACAAGCAAAGCACACACACTTGCAAAACTGGAAATTAAAAGCTAGATTAACAACCAAAAACTTTTTCAAGATAACAAACCAATTTCCCCGGCAACGGTGCCAAAAACTTGACTCGCACGAAACTACACCAAAATAAAAACCCAACTAGAGCCCAAGTTTTTAAACTCTAGTCAGGTGCAGAATAGGGCAAGTATTTAGATATCGACACGGGAACCGTCTATCCCTACTTCGGTTGTTGAAATCATTATCTAGAAACAAAGTTTTGGTTTAAAGGTTTGCTAATTGAAATGTGAAAAGGAAAAGGTAAATGGTTTTGGAAACTCTTTTGTGGAAGGATCACTCGGGTGTCGCATCCCCTTAACTGCTACCATGATATGTAAATTGGAACAATTGCTAAAACGAGGTGAGCATGAAAGGCTGTGTCACTCAAACCTCTCAGTTTAGACAATCGGTAATTGACTTATTCCCTCACTCAACTCAAAGGTCGGACGGTTTAATCACAATTAATCGATTTGCTTAAGTCAACATTGAGGGTTGCCCTAACTTAACCTAGTTAGCTGGCTTAGAAAGCGGAAGGAAAACCAACTCGATTGAGTCACCCTTGGAAGATGGATTTTCCTCTCTAAGCTAGGCTAGGGTGGCTAATTAGATTGCTAGCACCAACATGCACAAATCAAAGGGTGCTAAGCACAATTATGCACAATCCTTAGGTTGCTGAGCACCTAAATGCACAAACCTAAGGATGCTAAGCACAAAACATGCACAACCCCTAGGTTTCTAAGCACAAGCATGCACAATCATGATAAATAATGCCTCAATCATTGAATTGAACAATACCCAATGAAAATCATCCAATACACATAAAAGAAAACTACATGGTAGAGTTAGGGTTTCACGACACCCAAGTGAAAGGAGGTCTACTCCATGATAGAAGTGGGAAAAACAAAAGGGAAAGAGGTGTAAACCATCTTGGAGGATGCTCCCAGTCTTCTTGGCCGTTGAGCTGAGCTTTCCTTGTAGGAAATCTTCCCAAAATGTGCCTTGAAGCAAAACCCTAGCCTTCTTTTCCCTTTGGTTTGTGTTTCTCTCTCTAGAATGTTGAAAAAGGCTTTCACAGAAAATGGGCTCCCCTCTCTCTCCTGCTTTCGGCTCATCATTTAAACTAGAGACGTGCTGAGTTAACGGCCGGGAACCAAGAAACGCGTCCGTGAACTACAGGCGGGCGCCAAAACGCATCGCGTCGATCTCTTCTGTTCATGGTCAACAACCTTCGTTTACGGTCTTAGTGACCGTGAACTCATCTTGCGTCACTAACCTCCATTTTGGCTCTGGACGCCTCGCGATTCACGGTCAAGAGCTCTTCTTCACGGTCATGCAAGACCGTGAACTTCCTTGGTTAGCCGTGAACTGGCCCTTTTTCATTTCTTCTCCCGGTTTTCGGTCCTTTTTGCCCAACTTTCGACTTTGAGGCTGGTTTCACCTGTTAAATCCTGAAATACACTAAAACACGAGGAACCTAGCATAAAACCAACCTTTTAGGAGTGAATTTGGCACAAACACCTAAGTAAAACGGGGGCAAAACATGTACAATTAGGTCCGAATCACTCCCCCACACTTATGGTCAGTTCACTTGCCATTCCATTTCTTATAGATTTCTCAACAGAAAACAAAATAAAATGAAAACGAAGCTGTCATTTTCTGAGAATCAAAATCTGCAGAAAACTTGTTTAGTTGAGAATTTTGGTGAGTTCTGAAACTGAATTCTGAAAATGAAAACCTGTTTAGTTACTTCATACTGTTTTTTGGTACTTGATTACTATAATTTTTTCATGGAGTGTCATACAACTCTAATCATGATTATAATTTTTAATACGAATCACATTGTTTTCAAACTACTAATAAACACAATACAAGTACAACATCTTAATCAAATAAATAATATTAAAACATCAAATATCAAATAAGTCCCGCTTGAAAGTCATCCCATAACTTGTTTGCTATTCCATCACGTCGCACATCCATTGCTCGAGTTTGACTTGAACTGCGATTAAACACGAGCAGGCCGCTACGTAATGGTTGAGAGGGGATGCTGCTGGGGAGCGGGATTCAGTCGTTTGTTTCCGAGAAGCTAGCTGGAAGAGATGCGATGGAGGGAGGTCGATCGATGAAGGGGAGGCCGAGCTTCGTCTGCGAGCTTCTCATAGGATGCGGCGACCATTTGTTTCCGAGCAGCCGCAGGAGGAGATGCGGCGGTCGATCGATGAAGGGGAGGGCGAGCTGGAGGATATGCGTCGGCGATTGGAGGAGTGCGTCGGCGAGCTGGAGGAGATGCGGCGGTCGATCGATGAAGGGGAGGCCGAGCTGGAGGAGATGCGTCGGCGATCTGGAGGAGTGCGGCGGCCGAGCTTCTCGTGGGATGCAGCGGCGTTTGTATGGAGTGGAGGAAGGAGTTCGATGGAGCTTGGAGGAGACTGCTGGGGATAGGGTTTTCAATGCCAAAAACGACATCAAGGGCTGCGTGTAGAAGCTATAACAGAAATTATGCAAAAAAAAAAGGGTTGGGGGACTCGAATCCGAGACCTCATTAATGAATAGTAGTGTTTCTCCGCTGGGCAACGGGGAGAAATCCGTGCCATTAATTCCAATAAACGAGTATTTCTCGTTTCTGCCAGCTTCCACATTCATTCTTCCCCATTTTATTAAACGAAAACAAAACAAGAGAGTGAACACGTTTTTGCAATTATATTTACTGATTTATGTTGTGGCACTGAAAAACAAAAAACAGAATGGCAAGTGAACAGGGCATTAGATGTTTGCTTCTCCGCAAGAAAACCATTTCATACAAGGTAATATTTCAACCTACACAAATACTTTGGGGACAACTCAAAGGGCACGAAGCGGGAATTCTCAATGGTTATTGGAAATTAACATTTGGACCGTTGCAAGCAATACTAATATCCACCACAAACGACATTCGAAGCCACCAAAAACGGGCAAACGAAAAGTTCTAAACTTGTTCATGGATCAATGCAAGTCTCAACAAGACAACTTATCAGCCACAACCAACCATGCATGGAATTCAAGTCCGAGAAACCAATGGAAATGCAACAAAGGTCCTCACCGGGGTATGATATAACATGCAAAGCAAGAATGAATCACTCACTCTCAAGACCAGTGGTGTCGGGACCATTTTGGTGCAAAGATGTGCACAATCATAAAGTCTCGGCCCTATCATCTTAATACCACGACGGTAACCTTCTGATGCTAGAGTTCATGGGATGGTTGTCACCACTAGCTTGTCCGGAGGTCTTAGACACAGGTTCAAATGACTGGCAATTTTCTTGGACACGGGAAAAAAGCTTTTTTGGGTGGTGGCAATCATGACGTGAGGTTCTACATCTTCAACCTAAAACCGAAGGTTCTATGGTTTCGACTAAAAGCCCTCTTTTCAACCCAAGGCCACCAGCATCAGCCAAAATCCTTATCTCTCCTTCCCAAACTATCACCCATCGTGAACTACATTGAAGAGCTCTTCCTCCGTCTACCCTTGCTAGCACATTAATGTTTGGTAGTGAGGGAGTTCTAAAACAATGTGGGGGGTTTCGATGGCTTGGGTGCCAAGAAATCCATCCTAGAGCATGTACTTTGATTTTTCGTGGCACTCTCTACTTTATTTACCCCCATTTATTATCTCTTTTCTTTTCTTATTTTTTTTCTTTTCTTTTCGAGGGGGGTACTACAGAGTAAAAACACTTGCCACCTATACTTTTAATGACCAATGTTCTCTTTTTGAGGAACTCACTCCAACACTACACTTCATTTTTCTCATCCCTAGCAAGGACTGGCGAACCTCCTATGTAGAACCTCTTTGGAAACTCAAAGGCAAGAGCTCCGGGACACAAGGACGACTCATGTTTAGACACAAAGAAAGGATTATGGTCGTTCTATTAACACCATTAAGCTCACATGAACGAAGCTCCTAAATTGAAAACGACCTTCGAAGTCACAAGGCTCAAAGGGGTTGACTAAAGGATGACACATTTCGGGACAATCAACATTTGGGCGTGGACTAATCCTATGCCTCCATCAAACTTACTAGTGACAACTTGTGATGTTACACACCGTGGTAAGAGGGAACTATCACACCGAAAGAAACGATCGGCTCAAAGCTCACAAGCTACCTAGTTACCCAACCATCTATTTCAATTCACAAACACGATACATGGCAATTGTAAAAAATGAGTGATCAAGTCAAGACATCCATTCATTTATGCACACCTGAGAACTAAACTTTTTCCCTATCCTAATGAACTTCTCAGTCATCATCATAGGATATACTCGATCACATGCAAAAAGTCAAGATCAATGCCAGTAGACACGAGAATTTCCCACCATCCGGCCACTTAGCTCATGCAAACATTGCTTGGAGCCCTCAAATTTTTGAAATTTGGGTATACTAAAGGCTCCAAGCATTAATCACACACACAAGCGTACTAGTAAACGACCCCCCCCCCCCCCCCACACACACACTTAAACTCGACATTGCCGTCAATGGCGTAAGAAAGGGGTAGAATGATGTTACCGCTTGGGCTTGGTGAGTGAAAGTTGGAATAGAACCGATGTAGGATAATCGAGCTTCAAGGAGAGACAAAAAACACACACAAACACAATACGACTCGCTCGAGGCGAGGTTATTACAAGAACAATACATAGTAGTAGTTTATGTCAAACACTCACACAAAATGAAGAAAAATAACAAAAATAAAAAGAATAAGTTCAGGGTTACAAGTAGAGAAGTGGGGCGAAAGTACTCTGCTCTGCCACATGTCTCACTCGTCGGCTACAACGCTCCGGTGGATGGACCCTCTCCAGACTCAGGTAGGATACCCTGGCATCGAGCCATGAGCTCAAGGATGTCTATCTGCTGGTCGAGGCGGGATGAGAATCCCATGAAGTTCGTCTCTAGGAAATCCACCCTCTGGACGAGGGGATCGCCTGCTGCTAGTGGTGGCTGTTGTGCAAGGTGCTAGAGCGCTGGGCGGCGGTGGCCGGGTGCATGAGCAGATGGCTACTCGGCTGTTGGCGGGACCTCGGGGTCAGGCTTCACGAGAGCCGGTGCTACTGGAGCTCGAGATGACTCCAGAAGGTCGGAGTCCGTCAAGGTACTCCACTCCTCTCTCGCCCTAGAGTACCAGCTTCTGGTTATATAATGTCTCCACTGGGAAGGGCTCCATCTTCCAAATCTAGTGCAGCGGGCCATATCTACCTGGAAGTGATGGGCGATCCTCGTGATGATGCCCCCCATATGCATAGTGTCCACTCTATTCCGCCCCAGGCACCGGGCAAAAGAGGTGGCGATCAACGATCCCAGATGGATAGGCTCTGCTGGACTCCTCATCGAGTAGAGGGCAATGAGCCCTCTGTTTGTCATCAAGTGGCCTGACTGGAATCTGGGGAAGATGGATCTGGTGAGCAGAATGTGAAGGATCCTCCACTGGGTATTCAGCTTCACCGCATTGGTGCGACTCCCCTCGAACTCGTCCTGCTCGTGGTCTAAGAGGCAGAGGGATCGGAATGCGCCCTGATAGTTGAAGTCGACAGTGTACTGCCGCTTCGTCATCGTCAAGTGGGCAGTGTCGAGCCCCATGGCCTGTGCAAAGGCATCATAGATCAGCACTCGTGGCTGACCTCCCAGCATAAACTTCACCTGTGGTCGGCTCTTCTTGTTGGCCGGGACGATATGGGAGAATGTGGAGTATAACTCCACTCATAGCTCATGTTAGATCTCCTCGTCCATGGTCAAGAGCTGGCGCCACTGGGGGTGATTGAGCACTCCAGACATCGAGGCTCGGCACTTGAACAAGTTAAACATGTCCAGGTCCAGCCGCTAGTGAACATGCATTAGTACCCAGTTCACAGAAGCGTTTGCACGTTCACGGTCTTACAAGACCGTGAACTCAGCAATCCGTCCGTGAACAACAGTGAAAATAGGGCACTTCTGCTAAATTTTTTACTCAACCTATTCCTCGTGCCTCCTAATAGATCACAACACAAAAATAAACCGCAAAACCACAACAGCCGGCACAGGGACACCACTTCACCACTCGAACTCTTCACAAGACACTAAAACAAAAACTAAGGAAAAGAAAACAAACCTTTGTTGGGTTGCCTCCCAACAAGCGCTAATTTATCGTCATTAGCTTGACGGTTGGGGATCGATCACGACTTCCAACGTGATGCCACCGAGAGCGGATCCACCACACTCTCGGGGCGAGGCTTGTAGCCTCTCATCGTAGGTTCCTTGAGTTGGCCCTCTTGGTTGGCCAACATTTCTTCGGCCTTCCCCATCTTTCGGGTCAAAGCTCCCTTAATCCTTCTCCTCCAAGCATTCATCCTCGATCTTTTGGGCTTAGGACCCTTCTTAACTTCCTACTCAACATCATCAAAGACAACACAACTGACGGTGGGGTTTGCCTTGAGAGGCTCTCCTCCACTCTCATTCACATCATCTGAAACAATCCCCTTCACTTCATCACTCCTAACACTAGGATCAATTTCAAGCTTGATACTCTCCTTACCATCCCTCAAAATTAGGGTCTCCTCATTAACGTCTATCAATGCCTTGGTGGTTGCAAGAAAGGGACGACCAAGGATGAGGGGCATATCCGAGTCCTCACTTATGTCGAGAATCACGAAATTGGTCGGATAGCAAAACTTGCCCACTCTCACCATCATGTCCTCCACTATACCTCTCGAGCTAATGACCGAACGGTCGGCTAAGGTGATGCTAAGCTTATAGGTCTTAAGTTCACCTACTTCTAACTTTTTGAAAAGCTTGTATGTCATCACATTAACACTAGCTCCTAGGTCCGCCAAGGCATTGTCTATATGATGTTTTCCAATATCAAGAGGGATAGTAAAGGTACCTGGGTCGGACTGCTTTTTGGGCAAGCGGTCGAGGAGGTAAGCCGAACACTCCTCGCCAAGAGTCACGTTGGCGAGGCCTTCAAGCCATGGCTTCTTGATGAGGAATCCTTTTAGGAACTTGGCATATCTTGGCATTTGAGCCATGGCTTCAAGGAACGGGATGTTGAGTTCAAGATTGCAGAGCATTTCCATGAAACCTCCACACTGGTTCTCCAACCTCTCCTTGTACATCCTTGTGGGATAAGGAAGAGGTGGTGTGTATCCATCAACCGCAAAGCCTTCCTTGCCGCCTTCATCTCATTCCTCGAGGGCTTCCCTTCTCCCTTCTTCGGGTTGGTCTCTTCCTTGTTGGAATCTTCCTTCTCCATCACTTCATTAGGGGCGACTTCCGGAACCACCTTCACACTCCTCACTTGAAGCGCATTTACCCCGGCATGGTCCTTGGGGTTCGTCACGGTTTGGGAAGGTAGAGCTCCCTTGGTTCTCTCGGTGAGGATACCTGCAAAGTTGCCGATTTGCACCTCCAAGCTTTGAAGGCTCGCTTGATGACTTCAGAGACCCGTCGCAACTGAGGTAAACTTGGTAGTCTCCACATCC